TGGTGGCACCTGGCGTCCAGCCCAGGTCAAACCGTCACCGCCAGCAGCGTGGCTGCCACAAGGAGCTTCTCCTTTTCCTACCAGGCACGGGAGCTGCGTACTTGGCCACAGGCTGCCAGGAGGAAGAACTGTCATGCCCTGCAGATGCGTTCCACCTCGCTCTCTCCTGCCAAGCATTTTGCTCATCAGGTAAGTAAGTGCACGACTCACTAGCCCACATTTTGACATTAGATGCTTCCAGGATTTCAGTGCTCCAGTCAGGAAACAAAACTTTAAAGACTCATTTCGGGCAGAGTATAAAAAGTTAAATTCAATGCTTAAAGCGTCATTTACTCATGGTAGGAATCCAGTTTAAGAGCAAACCAAGTAACTCCAAAGTTTGAAACAGTATTATTTCGAGTTGAATTCATCCAAGGAAGGAACCACTTTGTGCTGAAGGGTCACAGAATGAAATTAATTTTAAAAAAACAAACCATGATAGACATCTGTTTCTTTCTCAAGTTTAACTAAATTTACAGAGCTTGCATACATCAAACAATTTAACCAACCCTTTATTTCCTCCTAGTTTGAAAATGACTAGTGTGACATGCCACATATTTTAAACCTTCAAGAACCAGTACTGAATATTTACATATTTATTCCATGCTTGACATTTTACTTTTCAGTTCAAATTCCCTGACAGAAAACAAACGATTCATATCCCTGCTAGTTTCCAACACAGTAAAGTTTCTAAAAAAATAAAACAACCTTAAACACATGGTCCAAAGGAGCTAGTCAGATTTAAAAATACTTATGCAGTGCTCCTTAAAAAAATAGCGTTAATACCTGTAATGCCTGTGGGAGCTCCACCCATCTTAGTCACGACAATTGCATTATTAGTAAAATTACATCTTCCTGTTAGGTAACCATTCAGAAAGTTTTGGGGCTCCCAATCCCAATTTTTGTTCGTGTTATTTTAAACCATGCCAAAACACACACCTTTGGGAACCGATACTATTCCCTTTAACCGCACCCAGTCAGTTAAACTTCTTCCAGGTTTACCCGTCAACTAAACGTCTTCCAGGTTTACCACTTCTGTGGGTTATGTCGACTGACTTTGTGCAATCTCATCACCTCTGAAGCATGGGACGCTGTCCCAGTCTCCACACAGAGACAGGACACCTAACAGGGGCCGCCTGCGGTTCAAATAAAAACCTACTTAATTTAGCCAGACAGTATAAAGCTAAAGAAAAAATTCATTTTAAAGTATTATCATACTTCAGAAACACTTAAAATAGGGTGTTAAAGTTTATGATTCTAGGCAGACGAGCTGTCTGAAGTAAGTTAAGATTATGTAAAACAAGAACATTACAACTGGGCCTTATTTAAGTAGACAAAGACCCCTTTATAGCACTTTTGTAATGTCATAAGACCAAAGCATAAGTGAAAATTGAGCTCAGCTGAGTCTGACAGGGGAGCCCATTTGTAAATATTGTAGGTGGCCTTTAGAAAAAGCTACCACTGCTCACCCCATCCAAAAATGCAATAATAGGCTATTGAGAACAGGTTAATTCTATGAAATCCCATGGATCAAAGGAATGCAAACGTGTAAAAAGCTTCCTTCAGTCACTGAATTTAGTTATGAAAATAAATTTGGAGCTGAATCTAGTGGTAACATTTCTTTATGAATTCCTACTTGTCAAAGTTTTCCTTTTTTTTGCACTATTATCTCAGTCTAATTACAGAAACAAACCCCCAAACCATCTATTCAAAGGGAAGGTTTAGTATTACTGCTTCAGTTGTTCAGGTGCCCTCTCCTCAGCCACGTACGTCAGCAGAGAGGCGGGCAACTAATGAACTCCAGGCTCTCTCAGGGTACGGGCATCTTGCCTTTTAACTTCAAAGCATACTCGTGTTTCCCAATGAAATAACTCCCGTGGCTCCTAACACACGAGCTGGAGTTACAAAGTACATGCTAGCACGCGATGTTATTCTCCCTTAAGCCAGTCACAGATTTTCTACTCATTTTAACAGGTGTGGGATCTTACTTAAGTGTCTAATCACATTGCCAAAGATGTACAACAAACACTTACATAAATTACGTTTACATTTGTAGTCTTTTCACAGATTAATTTCAATTCTTCAATCTTCTATCACCTGCTACTTCAACTGCTGTCAGATGGACGTCATTCATTAATAACTCAGACTGCTATAAAAAAAAAAAGGGCTAACGGCTCTAAACCTGAGAGAAAAAACTAAAATTGCCTTACATATATATAGTTTTTAAATTTTCTTGCAGTAATAAGTCACACACAAAACACCTGTACCTTTCTTTTGGCACAACGAATATTTTAGAAGTCCTTCAAGTCTTAACTCAAAGAGGTTCTTTACTGAGTATTGTCTACTGAAGTCCACAAAAAAATTAAAACATTCGTTCAAAAGGAACAAAAAATTTACAGTTGTACACAAAAAGTCTTGAATTTTATTGAAATTTCAAGTCTTGTATCAAACAAAAAAACTTTTCTTCAGACAAAAATATTCTCTTGGTGTCCTCCAGATACCAGTAACTCTGAATTGGTCCTTTAGTGCCGCCGCTTGCTTTGTCATCTTCACAGAAGTCCACATGGTTGGGCTGTTCCATTAGGTCTCATTTTATCGTGTGAAGGAACGTACATGACGACCTCTTCCACTGCCTCCACTAACAAACTTTCCTCTCGAGCCACCACTGCTACTACTATTAGCACTTGTCCAAGACGGTCCAATTCCTCCCCGGCCTCTGGAAGCACGATCGCGAGGACTCGGTCGGTAGCCTTAAAGCAAAGAAAAGTATACTCAGTTGGAAAAAAAAAAAAAAAAAAAAAAAACCCAAGCCCTAGGCGTAGTAGCTGCTGTGAAAGCATAAGAAACAAAAACAAGATGAGACACAGACGGGGTCTGTTTTCTCCTTTTAATTTTCACTTTTCTTTTAGGCAAGCATTTTTTGCTTTGACTGGCTCTATAATTACCATGTAGGTACGAAGAGAACTGAATGGCAAAAGTCTGAATGCGAAATTAAGATTCTGCGATCAAGCGTTCAATTCAGCAACTTTTATGGATTACAGGGCAGTTCGCGTGAAAGCACGTATTTGACACAGTCTCAGTGACAACTGTTCATATATGCTTAAAACATTTGCTGAATTTCAAGGTGTCTGCAGCATCCTTGCATGGTTTCATTTGTAAAGCGAAAATGAAATTCAAGGAATTTTCTATAGTTCGATGCCCATATGAATACCATGTAAAAAAAAAATAATGGTCTCAGTGGTGGCAGGGGACCCCTGTTAAAATTGCTTTGACCACCTCTACTGTCATTGTAGGTTCCCCTGGGCGTACTCTGTGCACTCCAACTTGAGCCTCGAGCGCCTTCACGACGACTGTAATTGCCTAGGTAGGGAGAGAAAAGCCCACACGCTGTTGAGCAAACATCACTCTTTTTTTTTTTCATCACAATCTTCACAATACTCAGGGTGGTAAACATAATAATTACATAATTCAAATAGATATAGCCACTCTGCATCAACATACCCTCAGCATTCTAACTCAAAGTCTACAAATTACTTTATTATATGCAGAATCAGGGGAAAATACCTATTTTTCAGATATGAACTGAAGGATTTTTTAAAAAAACAAAACAAACCACTACATTATCGAGTGCATTAAAAGAGACTCCTATACCTTAAGGGTTTGTTGTAAAATAAATCCTAGCATTTATAACTTCACTAAATGGACGTCTTCTCTGTTTCTACTGTGCAAGGACTTGCCCTAATTACAGAATCAAAGGGAAAGGAATGAAACCTTGTCAATATATGAAAGAAACTTAAGACTCTGTAGCTAGAATCGCCAGGTTGAATGAAAATGGCATTTTTTTCCTGTCAGGATCTTCCACCCTTTTATTCAAAAGCCTCATTTAAACCCAGAGATCTATTCTGATGCTTGATTTCAGGAACTATCATGTCAAACGGTAGAGGGCTTTTTATTTTTCTGAATGCATCTCGGAAGCACTCCAACAGTTGTTAAAAGAAAACAGCTAACTCCTTTTGTAGGAGAGAGGCAACACAGGAACTCACGACCTTGGTTCAATTCCACAGCACTCAAGTGAACCTTTTTTAGTGCCAAACAACTTATTTCAGTAACACTGCTTCAGGATCATGTCACACCAGGGATGATTAATTGCTAGTAAATTGGGTTAGTATTACTGAAGCATTTTTAGCATTCATTTACATTTATTTAGCATTCTAATACAGGAGACAACATACCTTTTGAAGCAGGTGGTGTAAAGAACCTGTTCTGACTGTGAAAAGCTCCTCGTCCTCCACGATTCCCTGAGAATCCACCACGTGAAGAAATCTTCTGTGACACTTTTGGTGGCCTTTTGGCTGGTGGTATCCCATCTGGAGCAACCACTTCTTTGCTCTCTGCAGCAACAAAGTCATCCACATGCATGGAGGGTGGCCTGCTGGTGTTCTGTTTCCTCTGACGGAAGATATCATGTGGTCGAATTCCTTGTCCAAATCCTCCCCTGCCTCTTCCTCTTGGTGGTGGCACAACATGAGCTCTCTTTGCAGGCTCTATGTACTCAGATTTTCCACTGTCATGACAAACCATGATTAAGTTAGTGTAAAAACATGTTCATACTGAAGGTCAGGCATTCTCCATATTGGAGATGCAATTTGAAAGGTATTTGACATGTGGAGAATATACAGAACAGTGCTGAACACACTGTTACTCATTAAACTCATCTTACCTTGAAGTTATGAAGGTCTCATGCTTGTGCTTGCCGAGTTTGAACCCTTTTGTGGTTTTTGTGCGGCCAGGAGATGATGGTTCTGACAAAAATGACCTCTCCAATTCAGCTTGCAAGTCAAAGTCGCTGCAGCCCTTCTCTGACAGTTCAATTAAGTCAACTTTTACCTACAAAGATAAGAGTTTAGTTTTATCACAACAATCATCACTAGCACCTCTGAAGAAGAAAACATGCTGCACCAGGATGGATGAGATGCAGCTACGGTCCTTATACTAGAGCAAAAAAGCTCCATCCTCTAGCTTTTAATGCAGCAGCGTGGCACAAACCAAAAAGCAGCAGTAACAAAACAAAAAAGCAGCAGAGCTGCAGCAAAATTGTCTTGAAGGTTCTGAATCTCAACAGAAGTCAAGTATTTCAAGTACGAACACTTGTCTTATCACTAAATGACCTGCAGTGAGGCACCCTTTTGCTTAAGCTACAGTCCTGTTAGTGCTGCTCTTACACAGGAATCAACAGGTTTGGTTTTCCTTAGGAAATTAAAACACAAGTATCTTTGCATGTAAATTAAGAGAGTAGACTAAAAAAGAATGAAGGCAGTGAAGTCAACAGGAACTGATCATTTCTCACATAAGAAATTAAGACACTGCCAATTGCTTAGCTTAAAAAAAAAGTTATTCTATATTTTTCAAAATTACATTTAAAGTTTAGGTTATAAAAATCAAGTTTTAAATACTGTGAGAAGTTTTTATGCGAGTAGTTTCATTTACTACTGCCATTTTTTCTACTTTTGTCACATCAGAGCCAAGATTTTAAAAAGGAAGTGTAGCCATCAGGCTCTTTGGATATTTCTGCAATGACACAAAACAAGTAAGGAAAAGAAAATAAATCACAGTCTTTGTCTATGTTTAACACAAATGGCTAAAAAGCCCCAGCAGCAATGCAAAAGCAGGTCAGGCCTGACACAACTGTTCCTCAAAAGGAGATTACTTCTGCATTAGAGCACTGTAGAAGGTGCCAATTTTGTGGCTGCTTCCAAGTGAACCTGAAGGCATTTGGTAACAACAGCCTTTAACAAATGCCAACTCCTATATCTGGGCCACAGGGGTGAGCTCAGGCTTTGGCCATATGAGTTTATGATGCTACTAGCTCAGGTTAACCCTCATTTTTAAATCCACTTCAGTCATGGTAACGAAGCCTTTTACCATATCCAGATCAGTGTCTATTTCTTCAGCTTGGAAGGGTGAGAACCACATGGACTTCAGCTGGTCATCCATCATGTCTGCCAACACGTACGTAGTCCTGCAATTAAACAATGTCAAGTGTCTCTTTGATTATGAACGACAGCCAACTGCAAGCATATGCAGCATTAGAGAACCTGAGGTGAATGTTAGCACCTTACCCTTGATACTTGCATGAAATTAAATACACTGGGACTAGTAGGCAGTAGTGACAACAGTGCTGCTCTTTGTTATATACTCGTGTATAAATTACTGCATTTTCTTATTTAAATCACAGGCAATATGCTCACATACTTAACAATTTTACCTGTTGTTAAACAAATTCTGAAGAGAGTCTGGTGCAGAAAGAATAGGCTCTACATCTTGATCACTCAGCGGACAAGAATCACCCGCTGATTCCAACATCTGCCTCACTCCAATGATGTTGTCCAGTAAGGATTCAAGGCCATCATCTTCCTTAGAACGATCCTAAGTCAACACAGCACAAGTCAGAACTTTTTCCCCTCCTCAGAGAAGGAAATATGCTTTTGTTAATTAATTAAAAAAAAGGGGGAGGGGGGGGGAGGAGATACTACACAAAACAGTGTAACTAAGCCAAGTACACAAACAACAGCAGAGAGCTCCTCAGTGTGCTGTAAAACAAACCATGGCACCACATGCACATTCTAGTCTTCGTTTCCAGTTGATGCAATAACCTCCACAACATAGGCCCAAAGAAGGCATCACCCCGGGTTTTAGTTAACAAGCTCTCTGCTAGAGCGTTCCAAAGTATCTGCTATTTCTCCTTCAGCACAGTTGTGGCTTTTAATCTTTTACCACAGATGTAGACGGCCAGGGAGGGGACAGGAGGGAGTATAGCACCAAAAAGGCATTTGTGACCAACAGGCTGTGGGAGCAGCTGTTTTTATGGACTCTTCTAAATCAGCCATCTACTGCACAGCTGCCATCAATTATGTAGGATTAGGTTTGAATATTAGAGTTAAGTTTGCAATTAGACACAGAAATGTTGGATGCATTGAATTATGGACATCCTCTAGTCCAATCCCCCGCTGCTTGAAGCAGGACTATCATCAAAGCCAGATCAGGTCAGCCATAACTTTAGCTGCTTCTAAAAAAAGCTCCAGTGATAGAGAGCCCATAGCCACTCTGAGCAACCTGTTCCAGTGCTGCATTTCTGTCTCAGTGACTCTTTTTTGTCCTAATGTCAACCTGAACCTCTGAAGCCACAATTTGGGGCCACTGCCTCTTGGTTTATCGTCTGGAATTACCGAAAGGAGTTTGATTCCACCACCTTTGTTACTATCCCCCAAACAGCTGTAAGTAGCTCTGAGAGAGCTCCTTAGCCCTCTTCACCAGGCTAAACAAGCCTGTTTTCCTCCTCTCTCTAGAGCACGTGTGCTCTAGGTCCCTGAACACCTTGGTAGAACCTTCTTCAGGTTCCCCAAGATCTCTCTAGAACTGATCAGAGAGAGCAAAGCTGCCCAAAGGTGAATGCAGCACTCCATGTGAGAGCTCACCAGCATCCCATGGAGGGAGACAGTAAGGTCACTTGATTTGCTGACCATGCTCTTTCCAGGATAGCTCAGAACACAGTCTGCCTCATTTGTAGTGACCATGCACTGTTGGCCCGTATTCAACCTAACCTCCATCACAACCACCCAGCCCTTTCCAGCCCAGCCTGCATCAAGGCATAGGGTTATCCTGCTCTCACTGCAGGACTTTGCATTTTTCCTAATGACCCCCACAAGCTTTCTGCTAAATCAGTCCTAAGAAGTTTATTGAGCTCCCTCTACATTGAGGCTTTGCTGTTTGTCGCATTAGTCACTCCCCCAGCTTACTATCATCCATAAATTCGCTGAAGATGTAGCCATCGTTGAGGTCTGATCAAAACATCCAACAGTATCAGCCCCCCTATGGACTCCTGGGTATTCCACTTGCTACTGGTCACCAGTAACAATAAGGCGCTGCTAAGCAGCAGTTCCTATTGCTTATTACATTAACAATCTGCTCACCACTATCCAGTGCTCTCTGTTGTATGCATTTTCTGCCCTTCATCACACAGTTAACCGCCTCTGCTCTTATGGTGTGCACATACTCTCAGCACAAGGCGATCCCAACCCTACATGAAACTTCTTAGCATTAACACAATACAAACAATAAAGTCAGAATCCACCTTGCATCAGAATAGGTGATTTTGGACATCAGTATTAAAAAAATGGCAACAGCTATTACCAATTCTGCAAGGTATGGCACAGAATTGTACACCCTTCTCTTCACCTAGAGATAGTCTATATAGTTTTAAAAACACGTTCAGATACAAGACTGCAACGTCAACCTGATTATTTAAATTCTTTTACCATAATATGTTTCTCGAGATCAAGCAGCAAGTTTTCTGGGGTTTCTTCTTTGTTCTGCAGTAGATGTTTTAACTCTGCAGTAGTTAGACCCAGTGTCCTGCCTGGATGAGATCCATCTGCTTCCATAAGGCTTCCGTCATCTCCACAACATCCCTGAAATATTTGACAAGTGGGAAACAAGTATACATAAATACTCATTATATTTCTGGACTGAAAACCCCTTAGAATTCAAATGTACATTAGAGCAAATCTAGCAAAACAAGGAGTAATCTGGATTTAAAAACATATTATGCAAAGTAGTTTAATAAAGTACACTTCAACAGGCAAGTTTAGATGCTGCATCAAGATGAATGCAATCCTTTCCAATAAAAGCTGAGGTTTTTATCACAGAATAAACAAATATTTTTTATTCCCTTCTATACTACATATCATTACAGCAACTCTCTTAACAGGATGCCATGAAATCTAAAACCCGGACACAATGGCATGCTATTCACTTAGGAAATCAATACGAATTAATATGCCATTCTTCCTACTGAAGAACCCTCTTATTTACTAAACATGCATTCTGCCCAGCATTCACAGATTTCATTAAAAACTAAAGATGGCACCAACACTACTGGTGGAAAAGCCTTACACATAGCAATCTGCATAGTCAAATGCTTTCTGAAATAATTGTTCCTGAACACGTCTCGCACTGAAGATTTCAGAGAAATGCAGCTCAGTTTAAATATTCGACACACATTCACTTACCAGTGTATCAGAGTTTAGAATCTGTCGCATAAAATCCAAAAAAGAAGAGGCCAGTTCCCCTGTGTCTTTGCTAAAACTAGTTATTACTCGTTTTAAAACAGTGTACAGAGCACTGCTGTGTTTTCTTAGAGAGCTGGTTTTATAATGAAAAAGAGAGAAAGAGAAAATACTTTATTAGTGCATACACTGTGACCATTCCACTGTAACTTGTTGTAAGAAAACAACATATATGCAAAATAAATTTGGTAAATTTTGTAATTATCAAGTTGGGGTTTGATTACAAAGCTGGAGCTTCATTATTTTCTCTGTACAAGACTGTTGTTCACACCAGCGCTGCCTGCTGATATTTCAGCCTGCACATATAGAGCTATAAGTACTGCAGCAATACCTCTAAAACCTACAAGAAATTACATTTTCATCTTTGGGAGAAAGGGATAGGACAACAGAGATTTTACTTGCACAAGGCCCTTATGTATAAAGCAGGGTCATGCTTGCTGTTACATTTCACTGCCTAACTGCAGGAACAAACCAGAAAGGTAATCATCAACACCGAAATAACAAGGCCGTGCACTGAAGCTAACAGCTAGACATACGGGATCATCGAAACAACATCTTTAGCCTACTTATTCTTCATTTGCAGGTTGCATAGCTTCTTGCTGCCTAAGCAGCACAGTTCTGTAACGTTGCTTAGAAAAGCGTTTTGAACAACCTTTTATTGACAAGGCTCCAGGTACTACCTTTTTCTCTACAGGAATCTCACAACTTTCTTGTCTCCCTGGACCTCACCTTCAGTGGACAGAAACAGGTCCAAATATAGGGCAAGTATTAATAAAAGTGTCAAAACAACACAATACTGTCCAATTCATGTATATATTCTGTTCAAAAGGGAGTGGAGTCATTACAAGTAGTTTTTATATATATATATATATATATGTTTTTTTTTTTTAAACTATCTCTATCCTAATTTCAAAATCCCTAATTGCCTGGAGGTCAGAACACTCTGAGGCAGTGCAAACTGAATCCCCTCAAAATAGAGGGAATGACAGACAGCTCTCCAGCATCCCAGATTAGAGCTTTAACTACTGAGTGACTCAAAAAGGAAGGACATGAGCACTATATCTCATTCTAATCCTCCAGCCTTGGGAGCAGGGAAATGGAGAGTATAATGTTTTTTCAGTGCTTTGTTTATTTCTTGAAAGAAAGTGCTCCTGTGTGCATACTGCAGAAATGATTCAGAGGTAAAATCTCAGGCAAAGGAAGACCAAAATACTGAGTAAAACACTGAAGCCTCAAAGAGAAATGAAAGTTCAGGTGCCTTATCCTCAACATTTCCTAGATGAGTAGGAAATTATTTCACATTGCAGCATTTTTAAAATAATTTTAAGTTGTCAGAGATATCTTAAAATACCGTACCTCTTTAAGTGGTAGAAGCCATAGTCGTGCTCTGTAAGGAACATCATTGTTCGGATACATGTCAGCAAACAATTGTAACTGCTCTCAGAATTAGTTAATGTTTCCATCAGACAGTCACAAATTAAGGGCATCAGCTCTTTGCTTGGTAAGGAGTTGGAAAGCTGCTCTGATTCAGACACGGAGCCTTCTGATGAACTTGGCAAAATTAGTGCAATATCCTGTAAAAAGTGATTATTATACACATAGTAAAAAATGCATTCTGTATACCAGCAATTAAGTACAAACCATACATCAAGTCAGAAACACTATGTTCTTTCACTACCTGTTTATCATCTTATGCCAGTATTTCACAGTTATTCCTGACCAGTAAAATACTAATCCAGTGTATCTTTTTTTAAATCGGTTCTGTTAAGGGTTACAAACCATTATTGATTTTTCAAAACATAAAAGCTTTGAAGGGCAAAAAGCGATAGCAGAGCCACAACTAAAAGCCAAACAGTCACTGGATAATATCTTATACTTGCATACAGTTTCTTGCCTAGGCAGTCAAACTGTCCCTTAATCTCAAAACATTTATCAAAATTAAGAGGCTGCAGACACCACCGAGGAAGTTTAAGATCTACTGCCCCCTCCACATTTTACATAAAGTAAACCACGATTGATTTTCACAATGAATTTGCATGGGCAAAGAGCTCTTGGTTACATGCAAATGGCTGACCGGTCTCTACTGACCAATGACGCCCAGACGTCTTTTGCATAAATGGGTAAGCACTAAAGCAAATAAATACATGCAACTAGTAAGACACATAATGACACGGAAACCTATGCACGCAACCAATGAGAAACTACTGGGGCTAGTCTATGAATCAGTTTTCAGACAACATGTCTTACTTTGCTCTAGTAACTTCGGCTTTTTTTAAATGGTGTAGTTTTATGGTGGCAGTATATCACATATATCTTTGTACTTTGAATACATTTTTAAGAAGTTTCAGTTAAGACAACTAAGAGATACATATTTATTCAACTAAGTGAAAGGTCAATAGTGACAACTCAAGTTTTGCCAGTGGCCCATGTCCTGAAAATCTTTCCATAGGGAGAAATGGCATCCCTCTCTCAGCTGAGGCGACAGTCAATCTTTGTGCCATTCAGGTTTTGGTCTCTAATGAGCTACCAGAATAGCGCACATAATGCAAGAGATATCATAAACCGAAAGGATTTACATTCAAGAGCAACAAGACAGCAAGTAAGTCTGTCAAAGCACCCAACCATACACCTTTTTTTTCTTTTTGTCTTTTAACAACATAGAGGGGTTTTTTTTTCTTTTGAAAAAAAATCAGGCACCTAAGAAATAACCTAATTTAATTTGTCTCCTACAATTATCAACACACATTATGCATTAAATACAGAAAATACCTGATCACAGAGGGACTGCAAAAGGGAAGTTACATATTCAGCGCTCTGTTGATGAGTGACATTGTCCCCAGCTGATCGCATTAAAGCCAAGAGCTCCTGGAAAACCTCTGCATACTTTTCATCACCTTTAGTAGTTCCATTGATAAGATGCAAAATAGCCAATTTACAAGCTTTGTGTGAAGCCAGGGCATCCAATAAAGCAAGCAATCGAGTGGTCTGTCCAGTGTACTGTTTCTCTTTATCTTCTGTGTTGCTGAAAGAATATCAATGCACTTTGAAAAAGCTGTTTTAAAGTGATCTAAAAAACTATAAAAACCACCATTACAGGAGTCATGTAACTGCATTTTCAAAAAAGCACCTAGTTAATGTACTTAAACTTACAATTTAATTTGCTTTTTGAAAACTGCTCAACTTCACTAAATGACTTCTGGTTACATAATAAATTAATTCATCTACTATGCATTTAACATACTATAGGGCATCTAATTGTATATGGATAAATATGCTTTTACACAAACAGTATCTAACTCTACATGGGTAATTACACTTTTAAATAAGCAGTACTCATTGTTTCAAAGCCCTCTGAAATGGTAGCATACAACTTCCTCCAGCTTACAAACATCTACACATTTTCCTGTTAGCAGGCAGATCGCAGTATAGCAAACTTTACTGGCCTACTTTTGTTATTTATATCAGATAGGTCCTTTAGAAACAGTTCACAGACAAGATAAGGCTTTGTAGGGACAGCCTAAAGAAAGCCTTCGTAAAATACTTACCATAAACATACAATGTGAAACTGTCTACATCAAAACTTAAAAGTATGACGAGGTTCCTTGGCAACATGAAGCACTACCAGGACACAGTGTAGAGCACTTGTCTGAGAATTCATTCAGTTCATAATGGGTAAGTAGTAATTCTGAAAGTATTTTCCTCCTGCTAAATCTACTGTACAGAACCAAGGTGAACTTAATAGTCCATTAAAGAAATCTTTGCAATAGAAAACAAAGATACCTTTGTAGGTCTTCTATAATCAGATCCAATACAGTCCTCATGATAAGAAGAGCAGTAGGCGAAGCCAAGTCACACAACTGAACACAAATACGTCTCAACATATGCTGAATAGGCTGGCAAGACGAACCAGAGAAAGATCGAACTATCTCTTGTATCAGTTTGGCTTGAACGTGAAGATGCATACTCCAGAGCTTCCTGGTGTTGAGTGCCACTGAAATATCATGTGGTTCGATTACCTGCAGGAACAGAACAACAGGAGGTTTTTCCTTTCAACTTTTATCATAAAAACTGAATTCTATCACAAGGTATAAACAAAGACTAAGTACTAATACTGTCCTCATCAAAAACACACAATGCCATTTTCATTATTATCACTGAATGACAGGGCACAGTTCCAGCAGATTAGGCATGCCTTCGGTAGCATGGGTTGTCACACACCTTTTATGCTACTTATTAAAGATCCAAATTCAAGATCCATGCCAAAAGAAAGGAGAGCCTTAATATGCCGAGAGTTTGGCATTCAGGGTTAAATCCAAAGGCTCCACAGCCAATCATTTAAGTAACAGAATGGGAGTCTAGATAATTTCACAAGGGACAAAAGAACAACATACGACTGCTAATTTAAAAAGATGCTCCATATAAGAACAATTTTGTTTCTGATGAAAAAGATGTATCTTTAAAGAATCTATATGAACACAAATGCTTTACAGAAACTTTAATCCATCCTTTCACATATTTGTTTTTTCCACAATTACAAAAATGGTCTAAGGGTTACACATAATTACAATTCTTTAGAAACTGAATAAATCTAAATTGTACCTGAGTCGTCTGCATGGGCAGTGGAAGAGGCAACAATTCTGAAAGCAGTATAAGTCCAGAGAAAAAGCCTTCAGGAATTCTCAAAATTGAAGAGAGAACTTCCTTCAGCATTAAAGACCAAGTATTGTTTGCCAAAGTTTCTTCCGAAATGGTAAGTTTTTCATTAACACCTTGTGTAAAAGTCAGTAAGATATCAACAATGTCATTCTGAATTTTTTGTTCATCGCTATCTAAGCGACCTGAGAGAGGAATAGAACACAGGAGCATGTGTAAAGAAACAAGCGCTGATGGAACACGCATGTCTTTGAATTCAAAAGATCCACCCCTCAGCAGTTCTGTTAGCATTGTTTTAAGTAGAGTAAGTGTACAGCGGGCCATAGAAATAGTAGTAACTCTGTGAAGCGTGGTGCCCATGTTGACGTGGAGTCGCCAAGGCTGAATAAGTATGCTGTTCAACTTCTGTAATACTCGAATGAAGGTGTCCATTCCCTCAGAAGAAAAGAGCTGAATAACTGCAAGATTCCATTTAAGGTCTTTCTGTTGACCTGTACAGAAAAGAAATAACATTTCTGTATGTCTGATTTCTCCTGGGCAATCACAGTTACACTTGAGACATGTTTAAGTAGAAGACTCAGAAACCTAAAATTTCTATGTTAAGCAATACAAATATGTCAACCATACCTTCTACCAGAGGTGGTGGACACGCAACGTGACAAAGAACACGAAGTGCAGTAGGAAGACCAACTCCATCTGGGGTCATCAAGCTGTCAATGTTCTTAAAAGAAAAAAAAACAAACAACAACAAAAAACTGTATTACAAGGAAGGACTTTACAAGTATATCACTAGCTTAGTATTCAAATTCTGCATTTAGCTGCTCTAAGTATTCTGCAAAATTTAAGTTCAATTATTCCACCTTCTGGAAAGCAGTCATAAATATGGCAGAAAAAAGGAGGGTGAACATTTACACTGTGGTTTTATGGTAAGCTAAAAGATTTAAATAGTTTGATCTCTGCATCTGATTTTGTTTCAATAAATATAACTGAGAACAAGAACTGGTCTAGATCATAAGCTTTAATAAAATCATGTATTTTGGATAATGGTATATATTTTTAAATACCATATGCTAGTACATACCCAGATAAAATATCAAACCACAAAAAGGTCTAAGCTTATAGAGCACAACTAAAACCTAGCATCTTTCTGTATTTTACTAACCTGTTTGATATATTCAATGAGATTTGGAATACAATTTATTTCAAATCTAAGATTTTTCAAAGGTTCAAGCCACTTGCTGAGCTCTGGAGGGAAAAAAAAAAGACTTAAGAGTTAATCAAGTAACTTGTAAGTGCATTTATGAATATAAAACATTTGCAATAAAAGCGTACTTAATTTACACACAGGTGCTAAGTCCAAGTGTGAAATTTGTGAGGCATACATTGCAGCTGTAGCCAGCTGAAAAGCATCAACAAAAGGAAGACTTCAGAACAGGCAATACACCTCAAGTACATGGACAAAATTTGGCTCAAGTCAACCTGAACACTCAAATACTTTTCATCTTATCATTTGTGTTATTTGTAATTAAATGTATTTTATAAAAGACACTAAGGGTCCCACTGTCAGCTAAAGAAAAAGCCACCAAGAGCAAGGACCAAAGCACATTCCCTTTAATGTACATAATAGGTTGTTAAAACTGAATACAAAACTCCTATTAAATGCCCAAATGGAGCGAATCTCTGCACCAGTAACACATATTCCCTCTGGAAGCCCTTATAGATTAACAGTCTCTCTCTTAGTCCAGAACAACCAGAAAGTCCACTTTTTTGGGACAAGAGATTTCAAGTTTTAAAACCCATTGTTCCTGAAAATATTTAAAAGAATGTGAAGGTTCAAAGGTCAACTGGATATGAGTTGACAATTATTCTCACACTGATTTCATGATTTGCTTTAATAAACTAACCCTGCTTCTCAGGAAACTGCTCGATCATCAGGTGAGGAGGAAAGAAAGAACAGCAGGGCAAAGGAGAGAATTCAACTAAAATTTTCAAGAATTCTGATTTCTTTCAGTGCATTTAAGTTTTGGAAGAAATTATCAGTATGTCTACACGAGTCAGTTAAGCAACACAGAGCACAACTCTGGACATCAGAGCTTCAACGTTCAGTTGTCAGCAGAGTCCTCAGCAGGCTTTTTCCCCATCAGCTCCATTCCAAATGACCTGGGCCTCATCTGTGAGTCACCACAAGGCACAGAACACCCTGACACACAGTTCGGAGTCCAAAAGATTTAGTAGTAGGGTAACATGGACTATTCCATGCCAGTTGGCCTAGGTTCCAGAAAACAGTCCCAGGATTATTCATTAGTATATATAGACCCTATAAGGCTACATCACTAAAGGAAACAATAGAAGTAACAGTCAGCTCACTGACTAGTTTAGTCCAGTTTTACTAAAATTTGCTCTATTTTCAACCGTGAAATAATTTCAAACTTCCTGTAATTATCCAAAATTCATGGTAGTTAATATTACTTGAAAAATCATTTAACTATAAAGAATTTCCTATTTAACTCTCATTAACAGAAAAAAAAATTACACATTATCTCAGTGACTCAACTAATCAGATGCAGCTGGAAAAGGAATTTCATTATATACATTATCCAAACCAGATGATCATGAAGCACCAATTACCCACATACAAAAGGTTTCTTCTACACATTCAAACAATCTAGTTGATAAGGACAGATACTGTACCTTGCAATTTGGTGTTATTTTCGTCTGCCTTACAAAGCTTCAGCAAAGGCGCCGAGTGCTGTTCCAGCATTTGGACATCACTGGAAGATTGAACCACCAGCAAAACAAGGATGCAGGCATAATTATAAGCAACTGACTTCTTAGACTTTGAGTCTCTGAAACAACAAGAAGGATTTTCTTTAGATTTCAACTAATACAACTGGGTATTTGTTAGATTTTCATTCTCCAGCCCCTAAAAATCTACCTACAGAACTTTTACCTTCACCAACCCTTGCCCCATCAACCAAAAAAAAAACCACCAAAAAACCCATTCTCCTATGCTTTTTGAAAACTGAAAGCTTTCTTTTACATTTACTTCACATTTACTTCAGCATCCACAAAAGAGGAGAGATGAAGGCACTGACTGGAGTCAAGTAGCAAACAAATTTTTCCATAACTTTGTCCGTTTTCACAAATCTTTCTTTAAAAGCGCTGCTACCTAAAGTAGCAAAACTGCCTGTCCGGAGAAAATAATGACTTTTTAACAGTTACAAGAATTTACAGAACTGAGAGTCCCACACCAGAAAAGTGTCCAGTGTCATTTCCACACTCAAATCTTTTGCTCATTTCGCAGTTGAATTTTATGCTTGAATGAAAACTGCCAACTTACTGATTTCTTTTCACCAAAAAGTCTGACCTATATCACAATGCCTTTGTGGATGACCTACACAGATTCTGGGCATTAAGTACTTGATCACAAATGACAGGCCTGATTTTCTTTTACATTCTTCTATCTAAAAGTTGTTTTGTTTTTCAACAAAAAGATCACAACGTAAAAGAAAAAATATTTTAAAATTAGTGAATTATTTATAAGAGATACGACACTTTTTAAATGTAAAAACCTAAAGAATATAGATAAATGCTTAAATTACCCTAAAGCTTCTTTGGAATAGTATTCCATTAAAGTAATAAGACTTTGGAGATTTTTCTCCAGACTGAATACATGAGCCACAGCAGATCTTCCCACAGGGTTAAAAGTAATCAAGTAAAGGTTGTGAAGTGTTCCCAGCAGATCTGAATGGTCAGTCTCCTCACTGGCTGTGCACCGCTGAAAGTGGCAGAATAATTCTGAAATGCACTGTAACGTCTGTGTTGAATGCAGGAGCCACAGGGCAAAAGTATCCTCGTTGGCACCCTCTGATTGGAGACCTTCCTCTTGGTCTGGATCAGAAAACTGGCAAAGTGCTCTAATCAACAAGTTTGTTGCTTCGTACTCAGAAATAAAGAAAAGGAGACCCTTCTGTGACTGTGCCAGGAAACGCAATATATCTCGTATAGCTTGAAGCACACCTGGATGTGCGCCTGTCACTGGAATAGACAGTAGCAAAGTTATGCATTCCAAGAAATGGTGACTATGAAGATATCTGAAAAAAAGCAAGCAGGAAAATAATCAGTAATATTACAATTATCTGTCAACACTGCATGATAACATTAGGTAAAATTACATGCCTCCTAGCTTCAGTACTTATTGCTCTGCGGACTATGAGAAATAATAACTAATTATGAAAAAGTATAAAATTTTAATTTTACATAACATAACTGCTATAATATTTACAGTAAATAAAACCCTACATATAAAGTTCTGATCTCAAAAAAGCCCCAAACCCCAAAACCCCTCACTTTATCTATAAACAACATAACACTGTATATTTCATTAAATTTGCTGTATCTGAACCATCATCAATACTGCATCAAATGTTTTAAATGTGCTAAGAAATCAATCTTTACAGCATATGCAAGAGGTGATTTGAAGACTCTTTGCATGTAGGTACTTATATTCAGCCACAACCTACACCACTACTATCAAAGAATAGTTAGCATTTAGAGAAATACTTTCTAGACAGAAACTTGCTAACAGAGAAATAACCCATGGGATCTTTTAAACAGCTGAAGGCAGGCAGGCCTGAACTCCTCTGCCTGTGCTGTGAAACAGCGAGCTACACTGACACAACAGCACGACTTCTAACCAGGGCTGGCTTGTATCTCGCCAGCTCGGCATACAGAGGTATTCCAGACTTGTTTGATCCATAGGCACAGACGTGTTCCAAGACAACAAAGGGAGAACACTCTAGATCTGTAACAGTTTGCAAATATGCACCTGTACAGCACCTAGCACAATTGATTAGGATCTACGAATGCCACTGAAATGCTAGCACAGTACCAGTAATAAGAGGTTCACTCCTTGCTATGTGCATGCTAGGTTGACTGAAAGCCAACAAAGCAGGTGTATTAACCATCAAACTCTCTCAGACTTTATAAGCACAATCCAGAATCCTCTAATAAAGTACAAAGTGAAACATCTAGAAAAGTGTTAGTCAGCAAGGTCATCCTTAAAAAAATATCTATATCAAGCTGAAGGAAATACTCTAGAAAGTGAAGTTGCAACTGCCATACCTAAACAGGACAGGGAAAGGATCATCCCTTTCTGGAGGGCCTGTAATGCGTGCCATGGTTGGGAAAGATTTCACAGGTGGCTGAATCATTGTATGAGGAGCCGTTTCCATCAAATGGAAGATTTCTTCAAGAAGACTAACAAGTTTTTCCATCTCTCCTTCGCTTATATTAGAAGATTCCAAAAGATGATCCATGTCCATAGGAGCCTCCACATCATTCTCATATTCTTGATTGGTTCTTTCAAGTCCTGCCAAGTCCTGGTCCTGTTCTGGCTCCGTGTGATTAGAAAGAGAAGGAGTGTTCTCTGCTAACTGATCAACCACCTTTTTAATATCAGACAGGATCTCATAGAAGTGACATTTCTGGAGAATTGCAGAACCAGCAGTAACTACTCTCACAGTCTGATCTAACAGTATGAGTTCCAGGAGTTTCTGATAACCACTTTTTTCATGTACATCTACGCCACCCCTTAGAAACATTTCCATTCCCTCAGTCATACTAATAACGCTATCCAAAGCTTTAAAAGCATTGAGTTTCAGGGAGGATGACACATGATCTGCAAACAACAGTTCAAATAACACATTAATAACTCCTGCCTGCAAGAGTGCCGTTATTCCTTGAGTCCCACATTCTCCTAACGATGACACCAATTTTGTCCCAGCTTTGAGCTGTCGGACATTCAAAGCAATGGGCTGTTTGAGAGCTACCTGAAGGTTCAAAGCTTGCAGGGTCCAGTCTACTAGCTGGGTAATATAGTCCTGCTTTGTGTCTTTCACCTGCAGGTAGCTCAATCCTTTTACTATTAAACTCGGAACTTCTTCTAATGCAGTGACCCACTTTGCACCCCTTTCCTCTTGATATAATTCCAACAGTTCAGTTAATTTAACCGAGGCTTCCACTGCCCCTGAATTTTCTTTTTCTGGGTCTTGGTCCTTTATTTTACCAACTTCGTTTTCAAATACAGTCTTGTAAGGGCAGCTGAAGTATAAAAGAGGTCCAAGCTCCCTTTCAAAAGGTTCGTATGTCACAGGAGGCACAGATGCCAGATCCTCAGGTGTATATTCAATATCAAAGCTTGGATACTTAAATGTTTCACGTTCCAGATCAGCAATTCCATCTTCATCACTTGAAATCTGCTCATATCCATCATCTCCTAAAAACAAAAAGGTTCAGTTATGAAACAAAATCAATTAAGGATAAATCAGTTCATAACTGCTGAGACTCCGCTCAAAACAAAAAAGTATAATTTACCTAATACAAACATTACTGGTTAGAGAACAATCATATGCTAACATACAGAAAGCTTTCTCTCTCCAGATAGAAGTGACAGCCCCAGTTGACAGATATTTTTTATGTAGTAACAGAGACATTTATAAGAATGTATAAAGCATAAAGTTTAACTAGGGTACACATTACTACAAGAATATTGTCCAATTTTCTTCCTATGATTGCATCTGTCACAAAATTTCTAGCCTGAATTTTGCAGACATGGGTGTGAACTTTAAGTAATACAAGACGACTACTGACATCATTACATAAACAACTTTACTTGATTTTTAATTAAGAAATCATTTCTTTCACCACTTTCCCACGTTTAAACAAAACATAACAAGATCTAAAGTTCATTCTCTGTATCTATTTTCTAGATATCTATACAGATCTACCTGGAGCTGTATCTATTTTCCTCTATTTATAGAAAGTAACAGGAAGATTTACTACAAAGCTATAAATATTCCACAGCAAAATTCTGTTCTCGAGAGATGTCAGAACCATAAGGCAGGCAATGGCACAATGACCAAAGGAAAAAGATCCAGTTCTCTTCGCACCTAGTCATCATAATGGTACTGCCATTAAAAAATTGCATACACGCTGGGTTTTTTCCTGAACTTTTTACAACTTCACTTACCTTCACCTTCTTCCTCCTCTTCACCCTCTTCTTCATCTTCATCTTCCTCCTCCTCTTCCTCTTCCTCATCAGCAATACTCTCTACTGTATGTCCATCGTCATCATCATCATCATCATCCTCCTCAACATCCACATCATCTTCATCTTCTCCTTCTTCTGGTTGATCTTCCTCCACTTCTCCATCATCAGAATACTGGCTTTCTTGATGAATGGATGTTCGATCAGGAGAAATGGGCTCAAAGTAGTCCTCCCTATGGTCCACATCATCTTCTTTCTCCCCAACCACTAAAAATATATACACAGTTTAAGCAATAAGAGTAATTCTCTGAAACCCAATGCTCAGTAATAAGTTTTAGAATTTTGCATTATGCACAGCGGAGATACAAAAAAAAAAGCATCTTGAAGAAAATCTTCAGGTGAATTGACTGAACACAAAGAACAATCACTTAGTTCAGTAAGACTATAAAGAAATATGTAAAGAGTTCTCGGCACTTTCAACCCATAAGGAGACCAGAGAACTCAGCAAATGCTGCAGAGGCATGAAGGGGAAGGACAATGAATACCAGTCAACAGAACTTTTATATAAAATATGAGTAACATGTTCAAGCACTGTATGGGTCAACAGCCGATATTCTCAAATCTACTAACTTCTAAACTGATATAATTTAACACAGCCAACAGATTTTCCTTCAAATCCCTTTTCTAAAACTGTATCAGTCCAGCAGGAGACCCAGACAGGAATCATAGAATCATAGAAACATTTAGGTTGGAAAAGACCTTTAAGATCATCAAGTCCAACCGTTAACATAACACTGCCATCCCACCACTAAACCATGTCCCTAA